GGTACACACATACACACACACACACACACACACACACTCCCTTTAACTAAATATAGAATATAATCCAATAGTTACAGTTGTGGGTAAACATCTGAAATTTTAAAAGTAAGAACAAACTCAAAGAGATTTGTGTTCACCCATTTCCTGAGGCGTTATTCACAAGTGCCTGGTGACGGAAGCAGCAGCCTGATGTCTATCAACAGATGAACAGATAAGGGCAATGTATCACAAACACACAATGGAATACGTTTCAGCCTTAAAAGGAAGAAATCCCCATCCTGTGCTACAATATCAATGAGACTTGAGGACTGACTGGTTCGGGAAGTACGGACCTGATACCAGTCCTGGTCTTGGAGTGGAATAAGCCAGTTACAAGACAACAGCTCTGGGAGTCTGGGTATGAGAGAGATACCTATAACACCCAAACTCTTACTGAGAGGCAGGCAGTTGCCAGGGGTTTGGGGACCTGTTCCAAAGAGAAGCTCTGTTTTGCAAGATGAAACAGTTCTGGAAATCTGTTCTCAACAGTCGATCTGTGGTTGGCTGCTGTAAAAGGCCATTTCAAATCTGTAAAGATGCCAGATTTTATGCTGTGTGTTTTGGACCCACAAGAAGAAAGATTTTCGAAAGATCAGCCACGTTAAGACATCTCAGTCAAGCCTCTAAGGAATTGCAAGCTACAGCCAGAAGAAAATCAGCTCAGGTCCTAAAACCACATTATAGTCTGAAGCTTCCCTGTTTGTTTTGAGACAGCTCTCCCTACGTAGCTCAGGCTGGCTTCAGCTTTGCCATCCTCCTCTCTGCTGGAATTTGAGGTGTGCCCACCATATTAGCAAAGTTGAAGATTTCTGACAGTAGCTGTCATGATATAATGCTGTGTACAGTCGGGTTTTAAACAGGGAGAAAATATGAGAAAAGTGGTTTTTGACCTGGAGGGATCCAGGAAATTGTGGGAAAGGGAACCAGGGCAAAATGGCAAAGTCAGGGAGGAAAGAAGAAAGGCACAATGTGTAGGAGGCCAGTATTAAGTGTGGCTCTGTAGGAAGGAGGTGGGGGGAAAGAGTGAAAGAGAGGAAGGGGAGAGAGGAGAAAGAGGGAACAGCAAGAAGTGGGGGGTGGGTAGGAATAATGAAGGTTTGAGTAGCTGTGCAGGGCATTGGAGATTAGACCTCAGAGAGAAGAATTCCGGGCAGGAGAGACGCAGGACCAGGCGCTGAAGGAGGTTGAAAGATGCAGGGGCTGACAAAGGCTCTGCTTGGCGGACTGAGGATGGGAGCGCCGGGACGGGACGCGCGCGCAGGGCACCCAGTGCTACTCCCAGGCAGCAGGGGAGTTTCCCGGTAGCCGAGCTGGTCACACGCAACCTTCCCTTGAACCCCACCCCCCCATCAAGAAGTCACAGACAAATCCCCCATTCCCATAAATTAAAGATGGTTACAGTAGTAGCTTGACAGCTTAGGGGAAAGCAGCAGTGGGTTCGCAGCTGTCCCTGCCAGTAGGAATCTTCAACACCCCTGGCCAGGGCTGGGGGTAGGCAAAATAAGATTGCACCGCGGGTCTCCCGGGACCTCTCAGGGTGGGGGAGGGGCGCGCGGTTTTTATGATCGTTTAGTGCAGAGAATCAGCTTCTGCTTCCAAGGAGTCCAAGGTGGGAGGCTGGGGACCGGGGTGGGGAGGTGGGGCACTGATAATGGAGAGGTGTGCAGACTCCATGGCTGGAGCCTCCCAGGCCAGCCTCTTCCCCTACTTCTCAGCACATCTCCACAGCTCCGATCGAAGTGCCAATTGATCACTACTGGATTTTAGGACCAAGAGATTGTAAAAAGTTCACATAGCCCACCCAGGAATTTCTGAGACACTGTATCGGGAATATTCAGTTCTACTGTTTCCACCAGTACGGGAATGCTAACCTTTCTTTTTTTTTTCTTCCTTTCTTTTATTTTCTTTTTTTTTTGACAGGGTCTCATGTAATCCAGGTTGGCCTGGAATGCTATCAAGCAAAAAAACCATCTTGTATTTCTGATTCTCCTGCCTCCACTTCCTAGGTGTTGGGATTCCAGGCATTCACTACACCATCTTATTTATGAAGTATTGAGGATTAAACCCCAGAGATTTCAGTCATGCTCTCTGCCCTCTGAGCTCCACCCCCAACTCTCTCTCCAACTCCCCTCATCCTATGTTCTAGAGCAGTGGTTCTTAACTTTCCAAATGCTGCCATCCTTTAATACGGTTCCTCATGCTGTGGTGACCCCCAACAATCAACTTATTTTCGTTGCTACTTCATAACAGTAACTTGGCTACTGTTATGAATTATAATGTGAATATCTTAGTTTTCTGATGGTCTTAGGTGTCACAACCCACAGGTTGAGAACCACTGTTCTAAAGGCTAGCTCAGGAAATGTGGAGTTAATACTAGTCACAACTGCTATCAAACTTTTATTATGCACCTAATGCAATGTGAAAATTTCAATGTATTGTACTTAACTTTCCTGAATGCTCTAGGTGGTGACATTGTTATAGCCCCATTTCTCAGCTGGGGAAGTAGAGGCTGCAAGAATGTAACAACGACTCCAGAGTTGCTGTGACTTTGCCCTTCCATCTATCTGACAATGAGGTACAGTGGTCCAGGCTAGTCAACCTTCCTGGGCTGGCTCCCGGGGACTTGAATGAGGCACCCAGATGCCAGCAATCAAGATAACGCCTAAGTACATTGGGAAGTAGAGACAAAAGAATCAAGAAGTTCAAGGCTAGCCTTGGCTACATAGTTTGAGACCAACCTAGGCTACTTGAGACTCTGCTTCAAACAAAACAAAGCAAAGCAAAACAAAACAAAACTAAACAAAAAACAGGCAAGAATAAACATTAAATATATGGGGATGTAGCTCAGTGGTAGAACTGTCGCCAGGTGTGTACCAGGCCCTGGTGGGCTCCTGGGACCCCTCATAGTAATCTACAGTGAACAACAGCAACAAAAAGTATTAGAGGATCTGGGGGTGACAAAAGGTCCTGGGGTAATGAGAAATTCTCTATAGGCTTTGTCGTTTAAGATTTCCAGTTTCTGCAGCCAGTTGTGAGCCTCCCTGGTGAGACTCTTAGGAAGCTGACCCTCCTGCCTCCTCCTTCCTCTGCAGTTAAATTCAGACACATGATTGCACCTGGGCCATAAAGATCTCCCCACTGACCGGCCGCATGGGATGGAGGGAAAGTGAGTTCACAGGCCCCACTCCTGCTGTCTGTTTCCACTGCTGAACTGAAGGAGCCCCAAGTGAGGGGATCCAGGAGCCTCACCATGCATGGGAGTCTTCCCAGGTCAGAGGCTGACTTTCTGGTGAGCCACGTGCATGCTCACACCCCCAACACACTGCTATTGGCTTCTTGCCAAAAGGGAAGATTGCCCATTTGGGTTTTGCAGAGACTTGGGATAGACTTGGGAAAGATTTCGCCTGCACTCAGCAATCTCCCAGATCCCATCCTCATGCCCTTGGCCCTTCAGTAAGTTCTTCTGGAAAGCTGCTAGATGCTGCAAGATGCCAACACAGCTGGAGGAGCAAGAGAGGCAGCTACTGCCAAGGAGAGAGCTGTGGCCTAGTGGGAGGGGCCAGTACCTGTTCCACCCATCCAAACGACCCACTCTGAGCTCCAGCTGAGTTGTTCAGAATGGTTGATCCCACCTGCCGAGGTTTAAACCTAAAGGCCTTGAGGGTGCACTGTTTGTCATCACCACCCACTGTTAGTGTATCCAGAGGGAGCTTCAAGCCTGGCCATCAAATACCATATGAGGACCGTGCGGGACCCTTCTGAAGGTGTAGGGTATGGAGTTTGGGATCTAGGGGTTCATTTCACTTCTTAGAAGACCAAATCTGGTTTGTCTGATTTCCCAGACAAGAGACTTAGACACACATACACAAAGAGAAAAGTTAACCTTTCATGGACTTCAAGATGCTCCTGCCTCAGGAGCTTAGGGGTGGGGATTACGGTCTGGTGCCACAGTGCCCAGTTCTTTTTCACACGTGCAGAATACAGATGCCAACAAGCCTGCAGTCCCACTTTGTAAACTTGTGGGACCCAAAAAAACCCACTGTCTGTAGCTCCCACCATTTGGAACGTCCTTCCTTCATCCTCCTGTCCCCCTACCCTTCCTCCCAACTCAGACCACTGCCTGCAGCTCTCCCCTTCCTCTCAGCCTGAGCTCTCCAGAGACAAGACATCTTTCCTAGAAACTAGAGCCCAGGCAAAAGGTGGGTACTCCGATGCTAGGTCAAAGGGGCTTAGGAAGAGAAGCCCAGAAAGTTCTCCGCTATCAATCTGTACCCTACCCCTTCAGGCCCTCTTCTGATTAGCTCTGCTCCTTAAAGAGGACTCTTCTTGCAGCATGGGCTTCCCTGAGGCCCCACTAGACCTTGTCAAGCTGAGCTGATACCCTAAGTCTGAGCACCACTTTTTCCACTTTTTCATGGCGATACTTCTGGGCGGTTTGCCCCAGATCCCCTTCTCCATCTCCCACCTCCTCCTTCCCTCCTCCTCCCCCTTCCACCCTTGTCATAGTCCCGCTCCTCTGCCTCTGGGCTCTTGATATAGGGTCCTGGCTCAGAGTGGACACCCAGAGTCTCAGACCCAGCCTTAACCCTCAAGCCTTTTTCCCAGCTGAATCACAAGCTCCAGCTATGGCTTTGGGAGCATTCAGAGCCTGCTTGTATGTGGTGTGAGTCAGAGGTAGCTTAGTTTCAGGAAGAGACCTCACCACTGTGAAGCCATCCCTTGTACCCTCCAAATCCTTCCTGACCCCGTGTGTCACTTCTCACACGCATTCTTTGCAGAGACCCAGGAACACTGGAGAAAAAAAACCCATCACCCTCAACATTCTAGAACTCCTACAGTAGACGTCTTCTCCCATGTTTGAGTTAGACAACGCTTTTTGAGGTTTACAGTAAGGGCCCCTAGGTTCAGAGAGTGCTAATGACTTTCACAGTAAAGGAACAGTGTGTTTCTCCACCACCTACCTGACTTCTCTTTCTTCCTTCTGGATGATTTCTTCTCCGTCTCATTGGCGATGGTCCCAAGTACCACGCAGTCCTCCCCCAGTCCTCCTGTGCCATCCACCAGGCTGGGGCTGCCAGCCCCCATCTCTCTGGTGCTCCCAGCTGGGCCTAGGTTGAGCCTCTGCGAGGCTTCAGAGATGGGGAAGTGCCAGTCAGGGGTCTGTGAGAAGGCAGGACGCTGCTCATTGAAGATTCGCTCAGTCCGGGGCAGGCTGTGTGGGGTGGCTGCCAGGCAGGAAGCAGAGAAGTCGGGGTATGCTGCTGTCGCTGGGAAATCTGATTTTTGGTGGAAGGAAAACGGGGTTGGGGGATAATGGGACAGCCCCGAGGCGCTGCTGCCTTCCGAGTGGGGATTTCGAAGGCAGCCCCAGATGGGGGCTGGGGACTGGGGGTTCCTCACGCAGCTGTTGGCCACCGGATCCATCTGTTGTCCACTGCCTGTCCCAGTCCGTTCAAAGGTGTTGCACTTTTTCTACTCAGAGTTTTGTAATTAAAAAAAAAAAATTAAACAGTAGAGGAAAATGTTGAATGGAAACTTTACCCCAGGAACCAAAACAAAAGTTTTGTCTCAAAGTCCACAAACACACGTGGCCAGGAACACACATGTGCGTGTTCGCACCTGTCTAGGCTTCACGTCTGCCTTCCTGCCCCCAACACACGCTGACTATTGGGGTCCCTCGTGCACGGAGTTGTTTCCTACCGTGCTGAACATTTTGACTGTCCTACCTTGGACCCACCCATACTGACAAGCCCTTCCCGGGGACCCTGAGTGAATGGATGCCTGCAGAGGGCTGGACCCGTTACTGAGACAGACTTTTAAATCCTGCGGTGGGGAGAGAGTGACAAATTTTTGGAGTGAAATGTGAGAGAGGAGAGGGAGGGGTCAACCCACCGACACAAGGTCCCCTCCAACCAAAACCCGAGCAGGCAGCATTATCATCAGAAACCTTATACCCACATCTAATGGCATTTGCAGACGTAGACTTTTAAAGAAACATTGTCTGTTTTATTTTTTAAGGGGAAAGAGAGAGAGAGAGAGAGAGAGAGAGAGCGCACACACACACACACACACATCTGCGGTCTTTTGAGTACCTCCCGATAACACAATAAAGTTATTTTTATTGCCTTGTTAACAAAATTCCCCAAGTCTTGGATTTAGAAAAGCCTTCAGTTGAATCCAGAATCCACTAAAAGCC